GGGGGGGTAACGCGTTGTATGAACACGATTTAGCGATAAACCGTTTGAAACGATATACTCACATATGGGGACAAGGCAACGTTTCCCCGTGGCACGGCTTAAAATTCGACTGTAATATAGTTCTGATATTGTGTACAAAGTTTAAGGCTTATTGTGACGCGCGAGGGTTCACGAAAAACGGCTGGAGATTTCGCCGATGGCGCGTGACTTGGATGCAATACGAAGGATCACTTCGCGCGGAAAGAGCTCGCAATTCCTTTCCGCTTCTCCAGTTTCGTCAGTCTGTCTTTTATACCCGGTGATTTCGATAACTCCCCTTCGTCCTTTTAATGCGTCATGATCAAAACGGGCACACCGGGACATCGATCCGATGAAGCCCGCGCCGTGCCCACCGACGGATATACATATGTCCCGGACATTTGTTTTCGCACGGTCGATCCCCGACGGGGACGCGAACGAGCTTCGCGTGCCAAATGATAAATACATCTAGATCTCGGCTATGAACGCGAAGACAGAAAGCGATGCAGTCGCAGATAACATCGATGAGACGGAATGGCATGGTAGCTTCACAGATTCAGTTGCAAGTGCACTCTATTCACTTTTTAACTCTCGTGTATTGGAGATTTTGCTTGGAAAATTGATTCACTTTTTCGTATGTTACACACATCAATATTTTATTAAAAAATAGAAACTTTACGTTTTATTAGAAACTTTATTTACTTTGACATTTGGATAATGAGCTGTACTTATTTTGATATTTAACGTGTTATGTATGTGTCTCTGTATCTAAAATTAATGACATCAGTATGTACTTTCGCATAGTGATAATACTAATATTTAATTAAAAATACCAATATGTGTGAATTGATGAAAATGACCAATTGAATGCGCAATAACTCATCGGATCAGTCATCGGCTTTGTTTTCGGATCATAGATTTGTATTCGCGTGGTTTTGATATGTAACACCGATTACAGATGGCAAATATTGCATTTATTTATCCGAGGAGTGAGAGGGGGGAGGGAAACAAACGAATTCTCACTTTGATAGAACACACATCGATCGGCACACACGTATTCGCTGAAGCAATCGCGGAAATTTTCGTTATTTTCAGACATTTCGATTGAGACTGACGTGACACATTCGTTCGAATGCAAATCGTATACCTGCGATCGTAGTTATTGGCAGGCAGGTGGCAGGCATATTTGAGAGAATCGCGTGGCAAAAGTGAGCTGTACGCTACTATAGCTGGGACAGCCAATAAAAGTCCGATGGATGCGATAACGAGCACTCGTCAATGATCCTGCACGGATATGCCTATTACTTTTGTCCTCGTTTTCTGATTGCCAGTTTATGTTTCGGTGTTATTCATTATTTTCGCCTCCGACGCATGTCGCGAATGTCTGCATCGGTTGCCCTTTTTTTTTGTTGTTGTTATTGCGCGCCAGTTACATAACACAGATTGCTACTTTTTTAAAACAGTCATGGCCGGCTGCGGACGACGTCGCGCAATATTGTTACTTGTCACCGTTCGAATGGGACTGAATGTACGTGTGAAAAAATTCGCACGATTAAAAGTGAGGCGTACGTGGCGAAAACACTGGCCGACGTTTTTATTTTGATCCCGTTCGAGCTTGAAAAATTTCTCAAGTAACGTATAAGAGCAGAGCCACGTATACGCTCGACGTGTCATCGATTATCTATAGGGGGTGCTTGGAAATTATTACTTCGGTCGGATAATTCGAACGAGCCGAGATTCGAGTCGCGATTTAATTACCGTGAGAAGTTCCAGAGTTTTAAAGACGTGCAATTTCTAAGGTAATGAAAGACTCGTAAAGAAATCTTCGAAGCTTCGGTAACGGGTTTTGTCGGAGATATTGAAGTTTAAGTGAACTGAATAAATCAAGATCAATTTTAAGTTATATTTATATGTCTAACTGGCAAATCGTACTGTAAATATCGATAAAGTGTAATACTATAAAAAAATGTATGTGTACCCGCACCAAATAGAAGGGGAAAGAGAGGGGAAATGAGTTATATACAAACGAACACATAAAACAAGTGTAAAAATATAACGTGAAAAATTATTATGGTTATGATTTTATCACGAAATTTATTTAATTAAAATAACAATAACTTTAAATAAAATATTTGGTAATTTGAAACGAATTTGTAAACGAGTCGGTTTTCACTCTAATTATACATGCCACAAAGTTTCAGTTTATATAACAATCACGTATATTTTTATTTGCCTTGCAGCATTTTTACGGGTGTTATAGATATATGAAAGATATAGTGCAAAAAAAATATTATTTAACTTGAATATTTGATTTATTAGTTTAATTTAAATAGCTAATTTATCACAGATAATAATAATAATCGCAGGTAATAAGTTAATTGACATGTAACAGCTGTTATTATTGATGATAATGGAACAATGGGCAAACATTTCATTTATATTCTCAAAAATTAACGACAAATTTTTCTATGAGGTTCTATGTAGTGGACGTTACGATACTTATAAGTGGAAAGTATGATATATTCGTATGTATGCATAGGTAGACATGTAGTGTCTCGACTAAATAATTAATTGCGTGATCAAGTGCTCTTTCGTAACATCCTGCCGGGAAACTCCAGGAATATCCTATTTCGAATAAAGCCGTCGTTCCCGCCGTAGCAATTTCGTCTCAATTCGTTCGAGGTTGCCGCGGAGAGTTACTGTGGCTTTCCCTCGGTCGGCGGATCTCCCCGGCTGCGTATAGAACGCAAAATAGTTCGCTCCCTCGTTTCCGCTCGGAATACTTTCCGCATAGTTCCGGCGAATTACGTGGGTATGTGCTATACTTGGCAGTGCGATTTAAATAGTTGGAAGGGATTTGCCGCGGAAAAATCCGATAAGAGCTTCCTTAGCGTTCCGTTTGACGATTTCGAGCCCTGCAATTCCTACAATTTC